ACACTCTCCCCTCCCAACAGCCCCCCCATGGAGCACCCCCAAAACATCCACCCAGGCCGAGGTTACCGTCAGTGTTTATTAACAATCACATCCCGCCGGCAGCACCGTGAGGCCGTCAGTGAATAAGGCAACGTGCGCTCCCACAAACAGGCGTGGGGCAGGAATCCTGGCTTCAGCCATCGGCAGGGGGGGCTCGCTCCGTGCTGGGGGAGTTGGGATTCCCTGGGAAAGTCATCGGCTCCTGCTCCATGGGCATCATTCGGGAAGCTTCTCACCTGGGTGCTGATCGGAGCAGTTGTGGTAGTCCGATGGTGTTGGTAGCAGTCCAAGAGGATCAGGGCAGAGCCAAGGCAGCTCCATTGGGATGCTGCCACCAGCCACGCTTCATTCTCTGCACCATAAAAGACGTGGACCCAGCAGCTGGGACTAGAACCGCGTGTTTTTCCCTCTTTAGTACACAAACTTGAGGAATCCTGTGATGCCGCAGGGTACAACTGGTTTATTGCCTTATCCTCGCTAGAAAACTCATTATTCTGTTTAGAAAACAGGTTATCCACTGCAGATCCAGACACGAAGCAAAGTCGCCCGCCAGCCAGGAGCCGCCCCAGTGAGCAAACCACAAGCAGCACCCGTCACACCTTACTACAGCCCCGCCAGTCCCCTGCGAGCCTCAGGCTTTGTAGCTCAGCTCAGCGTTCATCTTCGTGTACATCTCATAGATTGCGTCCAGGATGGGGGTGACCCGTGACAGGAACTGATGGATTTTCTCGATGCTTTCCTCCTCTTTGACTTCTTTACCCTTCTCTAGTGCCTTCAGTAGATCTGATTTGTATGGAAGAGCATAGACTGAGCCCTAAAAAAGAGAGGAAGAAGCTGTAAGGCTCACACAACCCGAAGCTAACCCCATCCCACATGCAGAATCCGGGATTGGGTTATTCCCATACACTTCTGAGCATCTGGAGACCCCATGTGGATGCACATGGGAACAACCTTAGGGATGGTGGCTGGACCCTCAGGCAAGCAGAGATGCACAGAGAGGGTCCTGAAGCTTCCCATGTTTCCAAGCCATTATTCCCTAAAGCACATCCCTTCTTGGGGCAGCTAAGGGCTTTAGGAAAGACAGTTTCCTCCATGGAGATGTGAACACTCACCGTGAAGAGCTTCTGCAGCATCCAGCCGTGGTATTTCTTCAGTGCAATCTCATAAGCCTTCAAGGCGTTCACTCGGATGAGGTTCGGATGCTCCTCGTCCCGCTCACCATCAGAGATGCTCTGCAGCAGCACCAGCATGAACTTCAGGCCCCTGGGAGAAGAGCAGAGACGACGTGGTGGAGATGGGGACGCTGCTTCCCAGCCTCCAGCAAGGCACCCCCTGAGCCTGGCGCACCCAGGTCCCCCCAAAGCCCCACAGCACACAGAGCTGGTGCTCGATGTGGTCCCCAAAACACAGCACCCCATGACACCCCAGCCCAAAGGGACCAGCCAGACCCATGCTCTCTGCAGTCATGTCCCCTGGGCTCCCCACGTGCCGGAGCAGCTCCCAACGCCGTGAGTCACCTTTTCAACCACATCAGCGCCAGCGTCGCACCCGTCTTGGGCCAGGCCGCGCCGTGCATCTCCTTCTCCACCTCCAGGATGTTCTGCAGCGTTTTGAACTTGGTGGGGTTGGAGTCATAAACCGCCCGGATTTTCTGAGGGCAGAGAAGGGGGATGAATCCCGGGAAACGCCCGGCCGGAGCTTCCAAAAGGGAGGACCCCGTTAATAAACACACCGATGAGCCCCAAAACCCCCATGGGAAGAAAAGCCCCTTCTAAACACCTCCAGGTCTTGCCTCTCTGATCCCACCCCATCTCTGCCGGGGTTCACCCCTCCCGAGCCCCCCCGTGCCCATTCCTACCTTGATATTTCCAGTCAGGTCGGCTTTGACGGGCGAGTAGACGATGGGAGTGCCCAGGCAATCTGCGGAAGCAGGGAGGGAGCACGATCAGGCACGAGGGAGACAAC